ACATGGAAGAACCTTCTGCTAGGTTACATGTGAAGAGAAAGAAGGTAAGTTACTATTGAATCAAATGATCCCAGCAGTATCAACAATTTTAGGCTAATGACAAACTCACTATTCATTTTTCTCATAATTTCAATAAACCTATGCATAAACTTATTTACTCATCTATGATGAGATTTTTAGAGAATATGTTCACATCTGTTAGAGTGAATACTAACTTAGTCACGTAATTCAGCCGATCCGCAAGGAATTTCTATCAAGAGGCACCAGTAGAAAGTCATCACTTTCGAAGAAAAAACATGCGAAAGTAAGTGTAAAGCAGTTATGCAATTTTGTAGAAATCATCATGTGGATACTGTACACATCAAACTTTCAAAATAAATGCATGAACAGGCTAAATAAATAAAAACAACTTACTATTAGGTATGAAAATAAGAAGCTATTATCAAAATGTGATATAGAAATGAAGGGATAAAAACAATTAGCCAAAATTGTCATGGTTCGTACGAAAAACTAAGGAGTTTCGGCTCATTGGTTAAGGGAGGTGACTTTCGACCAATGAACCACGGGTTCGAGCCCCACCCCATCTATCGAAGTTTGTGCGGCCAGGTAATATCATTAGCCCTCACACCAAAGGTGTGCTTCATTTCCTACTGTGTGAAGTAACAAATAAATTAAAATGGAACCTAAGTCTGAACTTTGTTGGCAAATTAATGTTAGTGATATAAGTATTCTTCCAATAGAAGTTTTAAAAATTATATCTCAATAATTTGAAATTGTTATTCAAAACTACAAAGGGTATCTTTCATCCACCCATACTGTAATTCTTTTCTTTTTGTGTCCCTCATAAACTGGATGTATTGTCATCAAAAGAGCTACTAATCTCCTTTTTAATCAACAAAGTCTTTTTACGCAAACATTATCCCAATGGATTATGCTCTAGAATAACTATGTTTATCTAAACTAGGAGTCATCAAGTAATTTAATGATCACTGGTCACTCCTTTTTAATCTGTACGATCGGATATTGTATCACTTGCATGTGATATATCAGTTTACATAGCTTGCCACGAAATTATTTTCTTCCTTCATGGTAGCGAAATTTTATTCCCTGATTTCTGTGTGAATATATCTAAGAGATGGGAAAATTTAGCGTCGTAACCTCATTTAATCTTGAGGTTCACTGAATCAACTCAAGGCATGCGAATAACACGACTCTCGTAATTTGCACATCACTTATCAGTACAGTAATTCAATTGCTACTTCATAATAAAAGTGGCCTGTCTTCATATAAATAAAATAATCGCTGAACATCAGTTTTGTCTGTTACAAGGACCTAACTATCAGCTTCAATTTATTCCATGTACGGAAGTCAATCCTACAAAACTCAGCGTCACATGCCACCTGAACGACTCATTCAATCATTTCAACACCAATTCTTCAACTGGGTTACGGTTACAGTAAATATCCATTTCGTTAGCTCAGATGATGGATTTCTCTAGCATAATATGCATCCACTCTATGGTTAAACACTAACACAAAACAACTGAATAGGCTAAGTTGAATACTCCGTATACGTAGACCCTAGTCTTGGATACTATACTAATCAAGTAAGTTATCCTTTATTCCCTGCCTTTTCCATAACAGATAGATTAAGATGGCATGCTATATTATAATGAGAATTGCCGTTTTATCCCGATAAATGATGAGCTTTTCCTTCCTTAAAGACTTGATGAGTTCGTCTGAAAATCTTACACAGACGAACTTTCTGGCTGCATATTCCTTGTGAAAACCTTTCTAGTTACTCCGATAATATGTGGATATATGTGCTCGAGGTCCCGAAAGATTGGAATCCAAACAAGTACTGGAAAAAGAACGTTTACCTTCCAATGATTGCTAGTAGCAACATAGTTTATATATGTCTATCATTAACTTGATGTCAGTAGCTTTCATGTCAGTCAGTGGTCCTATATTAAAAGTAAAGCTGGTTTGTTTTAAGTATTTGCTAAAACAGTAAATCAGTTGTTTGACATGAATTTCCGAAAATGTATCTAAAACGTCAGTATTTCTGATTCAGCCTGAGTATTTCAAAATCTTGTCACAAGTTAGTATACCTTTACCTAAACTTCTTGATTCTATAGCAGAATCGGTAGCTTTCAGGAAGGTCAACTTTTATATCATCAGATAGGCAGTTAGTAGAAGCGTGGACTGAAACAAAAACGGTAAAAGCTTATTTCACGGTCCTTCTGAATCCCTGCAAATCAATTCAGTCAGATAATATGCAAGCAACTGACAAAAATGGTGCTTTTCTTCTTGAACTTAACGCTATAGTATGAGCCTTAAAGAAAAAAGTACCATATCTGTCAACAAGCATAGGGTAAACTGCATATATTTAGTGGTTTATTGACCTAGACACTTAAATTTAAAGCTAGGTGACGGCGTGTTCACTTTGAGCAGTCGAACTGAACTATAAGCCCTCATACACCAGATACGGCTCATTGAAGAGCACAGAGACATACGAGGTTGGTTGCTAAATTCACTCCGTCTCACCAAAGTGATCAACTGAGATCAATTCAAAGCCTAAAAGTATGAGTGTAATGCACATTTCAGAAAAGCAATACGTATTGACATCAGGATATACAACTTCCAGTTTCTGAGACCTGTTATCTAATTTGATACTGGTTTAAGGGGCTGAAAGCTTCAGAATGAAGTTATCAGAATGGTTTCCGAAGACTAGAAAAGAAATCTTATTTGTGCTGATTATTGGCGGCAATTAAAGAGTAATAATTTGAGGAACCTGTGTGTGCTAAAATGCTTAGGATGAGACGAAACAGTGGAGTCAAGCAAAGGTCGAAAGACGAGAGGGATTGATGATCAGGAAAGACGAATATATTTTTAGGAAAGAAAAAGTAGTGGATAATCTCCTATTGATCAAATTTTGAGGGTTGGTTTCTTCCTCTAGGATCTGATAGAGAAAATGGATTTAGTCCGGATTGGGATTGAGACTAGTTATGTAAAAACGTTTGGAGGAGAGTTTAATGTCACAGAATTATATTTGCTGTTCGAAGAACTCAACCACTGTCGACAGGATATTGTAGGCAAGATGCCCGTTCTTTTCAAGCGTAAGAAGGAAAAACATTTAAAAATAATGGTCACCCGAAGAAAAACGTTACTATTCATTACTCTACAGTCAGTAGTACAATTTTACCCTCATCAAAGTGTAAACAACTCACACTGTGATTACAGCTACTTTTAGTGTTACCACTATCCAGCCCAACTTTCTGACTTCATAGAACCTCCTACAACAATCGTTTAGGCTAGTGTAGACCGTTAAGTGTGAAAGTGACCATCACATCAGTGTAGAAACTATCGGTCAGCATAAAAAGCCTATACTTTTTCAGTTCCACTAAAATTATAGTTTGTCCATTATCCATGCATTCTCAAGATTATACATAGAACATATCATCTGGAACGATACAACTATTAACAGAAAACCACCTAAACTGAGTGATAATTAATTTACCTGAAATTAACACTTTTTCACTCTAATAGGCTTTACAATTTAATTTTTTTTGCTATTATCACGTTAAACAATGAACCATGCAGGTTAACCGTTATTTAATAAATTGAACTGAACATTTCTTCATTTCCTATGGGAATATAAATGTTTTCAATATGTTGTATGAACGGAAGTTATTGTTTAGTATACTTATCAAAGTTGATGAATTTTGAAAAAATCTAGACGAAATTCATGCTTTGCCATGAATTTTCATGAAACTTACCCACTTAACACATATGTTACGCAATAATACAATGATACAATACAGAAATCGATTTACATCTTAAACAAAGATATTTGACAACTAGATTATTGCTTATTATAACAGTATTGTCATACTTGAATGCTCAAGATATGTACTGTACAAAGCTACAAGGTCTTAGTCATACTCATTTGATTTCATTAGTTTTACAATACCCAAAATGGACATTTAGGTGTCTGCTTTTAGTTTTCGATGTGCAAACCCTACAAGTAAGTGTTACGTGTCCCGAGGATTCTAGCAACCTAACTAACTTCTTCAACTCATCTTGTTGCCTCAACTCACGGTTTATTGTTTACAAACGTTTTATAAATGATCGTGGTTACTTACCAATGTTTACAGAATACTGGTAACTGAGTTTACAAGGTAACTATAATCAGCCTGTTGTTTTGGATATTACCATGGAGAAAAATTTAACCAAAAGTAATTCAGATACAATTGATGAATACTAACTGATAACATTTGTGATTTCAGTTATTTAGCAATAAACTTTGGATACGCAATACATGTTTTATTCTGTTCCATGAAGATGAAACACAAAAATGTTTGCATTACCGAATCATCCATCTTACTGTCTTGTTAAAATTAAGAAGTTAGTGGTGTATCTCAAATACAATGATAAATGAGGCGGTGGATGGCCAGAAGAGTCCAGAGGAACCACTGCGAGATATAGTAAGCAAAGTTCATATTAGCCGTAAAGATAACCATAGGCAAGCATAATGGAGTTATTGACACGGAAAGAATCATTCTCACTAGGATAGATAAGTTCCAACCATATGTATGCGATCCAGGAGGACTAATATTTGATATATATATATATATATATATATATATATATATATATATATATATATATATATATATATATATATATATATATATATATATATATATATATACTTCTCTTGATATCGTTTCCTATGTATATTGCTGAGACGTGCAACAACTTGAAATACAATACAATTGTGCTAGGCTTTTGAGTGAAAATACTAATACAGTAAGCTATAAACCAGTTAATTAGAAACAGTTTTCATCAGTTGTTGACTGGTAACTTCCAATCACACATTTAACGCACTACTTGAAGATTTGTATAAAACAGACTCAAGCTTTCTGAGTAATTCCACTTGCAGCCGTTAGTATTTATTTCTTAAAATTATGTACACTAGAAAAAACAATAATGACTGACCAGAATTGAGTTTTTCCAACGCCTGGTTCACCGCATAGTTCAGTCAGTCGTCCAGTTGGGAAACCACCACCGAGAAGTTCGTCAAAACTACATCAAAAGAAATCGAAGGTATACACTAGCTGTTTTTAAAGATATACATATGGGCTAGAGTGAACTGCAAAATTTAACTTAGATACCACTTAAAAATCCATGGATAAGGGCAAAATACACCAATAATATTGGGGTAATACGATACTACTTAACTACCCGAACTTCGGTAAGTCGAGTGAGGCTCTAAATCTGGTCAAAAGTCAAGTGCCAAACCTAAGGAACAAAAGCACTACATATGTAAATTGTGTTTGAAGAGAATACGCCGCCAGCAATTATATATAATCTCGTAATAAACACTCACCTACGACACATACTCACTAAATAGCTACATTTATATCCTTTGTTTTCAATATCATCACCATGTGAATGCGCAGTATCAAGTAAGTCCCATGCTGTATGCAGGCCAAATAAACCAAGACTATTAATATCGATACACTCGACAGATGACTGATGATAACGATGAATGATATCCAAGGCACCACGAGCAACTTTGGTGCTAACTCCACATACTTTAAAAGTAGAATAAAAGATAAAGATGAATTAGAATACAAAAGGGAAGTAAACTGTAAATTACTATCCATCATTATTATTTTTATCACTATACAACGAGTCCCAAATGGGACGAAATGTGCATCTTGGATTTCCACTGCTAGCTGCTATCCATCATTACTATCATTAGAGCACAGGTAATATTCAGGTATCCTTACTGAAGCCCATATGTCAATAGAGACCGATAAATTCGGTCCAATCAACGACGGTATGATATAAAAACAATTATATTATAATATAACAACGCGTAACATTAGCTAAGTTATGATGATATTAGACAGAAGCCAAAGGTTACCAAACCAACACACAAAACCAATTCATGAGGTCCTAGAAGGATGGTTTCAGTCATGAAGATGCAAGTTACCTAGATGATAATCTTAAAACGTTAGAAATCAATGTTTGAATAATTTTATGGATATGGTTCAAAATCGTTTACAGTGATTCAGATGTATCCAGCCTATGTCATCTTGAAAATACTGAACATTTTGTAAATCTCCATTACCTTTGTTCTGTTTCATCACACATCCTCCTTCTTAATTTTATCATTTCTCTATTTTTAATCCTAAGAAGTAGTAAGTTCTGTGTAACATCCTACAGAGGTCCATCAGTTTCGGTTTGCATTAAATTTCAATAATCATCCGAGTGTACGAAGGTTTATCGATCAGTGAAGAGTCTACGTTAAATAGTTTAACTAATAAACTGAAAAAGTCGACTAAAATAATAATTCGAAAATCATTTGTCCGTAAAAGTATTTAGAAGTAGTGTAAGTTCAGCTTGGTTAGCAGAAATTTCCCTAGATTTGGAAAATGTCTGTTAGAAGCATGAAGTCCTTGATCACTTCTACATCAACGCTGAAGAAATTTAGATCTCAGATTTACACGTTACAAAGTGGATTACACATTTATTTAGAACACTAACTTGGTACAGCGTAAGCATCGAAAACTCTGTCATAAAGAATGACTTGGAATCAGAGGAACCCTACAATGATTATCGTACTATCAAAATTAACAATTCATAAACGATAGTATGTGTTATTGATATGGTTTGTATGCAAGTAAAGTGTGTACATAAGAAATCGAACACAAAAAACACAAAGACTAAAGGTATTCATAAGCAGTAAAAATTAACAATTTCAGTATATTGATGAGTAATTTGGAGTTGCGGAGTTGAGTGCAAACGAAAACTACTGACGTTAGTATTTCTACAAAGTCAGCTCACCTAGGTTCTTAATTACAACGTACTTCAATCAACAAATTCATAAAAATTAAAGTGGATTTTATTCCTTTGGATTCTTTAGAAACATCCGACATCACCATTCGCTTTAACTGCAAAAATCCATCGAGAAGCAAACTTTGGGCTGAAATCAATGGCCCTAGATTCAATAAATCAATCAACTTGCAACCTAAACTGGCAGTTCTTTTGTCATTCAAAAAAAAGGAATCTTCTCTTTTGAATTATGTTCTTCGATGGATCAAGAAAACATCTATGCATCACCCTATAGCTTTTAAAACATTTCATGAAGAAAAGAAGGCTTGCTATGTATGAAAGAAACACCGTTAAGCAATAACACTTGGTCGAAAAGATAAATATTAATAAACACAAGCTTATTATACTCTCTAGCTAACAATTATCTTACAGGTGTACATTATTTAGGAAGATTATTTCATCAAATTTTCAACAGAAAATAAAGCCCATAAGAATGCTGAATACAAGTCAGACCCTGAACAGATATATTCATCAATAATAGTCACTATATCACGTACCTGGGATGTCGGATCTGGTCTGGTGGGTGAGTGGCTAGCGAAATCTCTGAGGGGATACCAAAGGCTTTGTCGGGTTTTGCCAACCTACGCCACTTGCGGCACCAATGCAATATCCGATTTTCGATTACGAGTCAAGTGTACTGTGCTGTAGTTCACTCTGTTCTACTCTGTGGTTGTGAAATATAGACATTAAAGGTAGAAGACATGAGACTTCAACTGTCTGACCACCGCTGCCTATTTAGCATGGGCCATGTTTCGTGGTGCCACCACAAGAGAAATACAGAAATCAGGTGTAGAGTTTCAGGTAGGAGAGGTAAGACAGCTCACGCGGTTGTTAATCTTCATCGACTGAGGTGGTTGGGACATGTGTCAAGTATACCTAATCATCGTCTACCTCGTAGCACAATGTTGGACGAAGTAGATTCAGGTTGAAAAAATGCTCGAGGGGAACAGACTAGAACATGGCATCAATGCATGAAGCCATTGACCGTTGGTTTCAGCTGGTTGGGGTCCAACGGACAAGGGAAATCAGTGGTTGGAGACTCTAGGTGATATGGCTCAGAACCAATGTCAGTGGCGCAAATGCACACACATTGTCCTTATCTTAGCCAACAGTTGAGAACTTGATGAGTTAGTACCATGAACTAATTTGACAACTTTGAAGCTTCTCTCATTTACATGTACATCAATTCATTCGATGTTAGTAAAACGATTATAGAAAGTTAGTAGTTTACGAAAGTAGTAATGATTATTTGTTTTTGGAGGATAATTTGTGTCGATCAGGGATATGCTGATTGATGCTGAATATATTTAGCGGTAAAAAATTATTCAAACTAAACAAGAAGTCTTCAGGTTCTGCAGAGTAAAATGATAACAGAAATCCGATCAACTTTTATGCATTACTTAATTTTGATTGTTTGTAAGCCTTTCATCATAGTCTAAAAATATTCAGTCCGTAAACACACATGCCAATTTTTGATACATGTTATGACTTTGAAAGGTCTTGGTTGTATTGTCTTCTCTGACCTGGGTTGTTTGATTTGAGAGCTTTTATTGTCTTTATAGACGATATCATCAACACTAACTCAAGTATGAAGTGGACTGTCAATATCTCTCCATGAATGATTCAGTGGCTTGCCCCAACGAACTGGTTTATGATTGATTGTTTTCTTTGATTGTTGTGTCATTGACTGTATAAATTGTCTTGCTGGGTGTTCCTCTGCTTGACCCCTAACCCTTCTGTTGCTTATCATTTTTCTAGTTGGTTGACAGATTGGGTCTGGCTGACCTGAATGCCAAGCTTCTACGAATTCCCTCATATTCTTTGTGTTTTCTCCGTCCAAGATTTCCACACTGTCGAAATTCGATTCATGTTCATAGTTGTTATCCACATGCATTGAAATGAGCGATGAGATGTCATATGTGACGTTTAATAGCCAATCGGAGTCCATGCAAACGAAGGTGAAGAAGGCGACCACTTTGTTCAATGTAGTGCTAATCACAATTATTTGGTTTGTCTTCGTTGGTTGTTGCGTCCTTTGGACTGAAGGGAATTTGTTGGTTTATGAGCCACGATAATTCCGAGTGGTTTCAGTAATCTTTTCGTGTTCTATGATGATTTGTTTGTTGACCTCTGCCGATGACTTTATACTTAATGATCTACTGATAAAGTTTCGTGGGTAGCCGTTCTTCTTTACAATAGACATCAAGTAGTTTTCTTCGTTTGTCCGTGAAGTTGTTGTACTGCAGTGTGTTGTCCCGCTTTTGAATCGAGTCTGTTGTTGCTACCGTAGTTGAGGATTCGATTAGTGAGCGTTGGCATCCTGTACACCTGGGTTTCCAGTTTTTCGGTACTTGTTCTAGTGACTAAAACATCCAGAAATGCAGGTGGTTGTTCATCGCTCATTTCAATGCATGTGGATAACAACTATGAACATGAATCGAATTTCGACAGTGTGGAAATCTTGGACGGAGAAAACACAAAGAATATGAGGGAATTCGTAGAAGCTTGGCATTCAGGTCAGCCAGACCCAATCTGTCAACCAACTAGAAAAATGATAAGCAACAGAAGGGTTAGGGGTCAAGCAGAGGAACACCCAGCAAGACAATTTATACAGTCAATGACACAACAATCAAAGAAAACAATCAATCATAAACCAGTTCGTTGGGGCAAGCCACTGAATCATTCATGGAGAGATATTGACAGTCCACTTCATACTTGAGTTAGTGTTGATGATATCGTCTATAAAGACAATAAAAGCTCTCAAATCAAACAACCCAGGTCAGAGAAGACAATACAACCAAGACCTTTCAAAGTCATAACATGTATCAAAAATTGGCATGTGTGTTTACGGACTGAATATTTTTAGACTATGATGAAAGGCTTACAAACAATCAAAATTAAGTAATGCATAAAAGTTGATCGGATTTCTGTTATCATTTTACTCTGCAGAACCTGAAGACTTCTTGTTTAGTTGAATAATTTTTTACCGCTAAATATATTCAGCATCAATCAGCGTATCCCTGATCGACACAAATTATCCTCCAAAAACAAATAATCATTACTACTTTCGTAAACTACTAACTTTCTATAATCGTTTTACTAACATCGAATGAATTGATGTACATGTAAATGAGAGAAGCTTCAAAGTTGTCAAATTAGTTCATGGTACTAACTCATCAAGTATTCAACTATTGGTTTGATGCATGTATGGAAATTTTTTCAGCAAGGATGCACAATGAAGTCGTATTCGGTCTTTTATTCCTTTTCAAGCTATTTCTATTGCCTGTTTCTCTTAGTTTTTTTAAACTACTATCGACACCAGTGTTTTCATTTCATTTTTGCATACTATTCTTCACTTCTCTTTGCTGTCTCCAGGTTAGTCCTCATCACTAACTAATATCAGATGGAGATCCACTGAAAAACTAGGAGCACCGAACAGCTGTTTCGTCCAAGTGCAAGACTTTTCAGCAGTGCTCACTCACGATTCCTCTTCATAATTGAAGTGTGGTAAGTCTAAGGAGCATACAATTATGCCTACTTACAATAATAATTACTTTCTGATAATAGAATTATATTATAAGAATTGAAAATACAAAGTCAGGAAGAAATATCACATCCCGACCTTTCTATAGTCATTTATTAGATCAACATTGAAGCTGACACAAAATGTATCAGTTTAACTTGTTGCACTTTGCAACAATACAGTAAAAAGATACAAAAATATTTTTTAAAGCATCCGAAGGAAATGAGAATGGTAGGTAGAAATTAATTATAAATAAGAATGGTAGAACACCTGTACCATATAAGTGGGAAATTCTCCTACCACTGAAAACAAAGAATATGATTACTTTGTTGATATACTTGTAGTTCTCCGTTGTTATACTGCATTGGATTGTTCGACCTATATTGACATATGGGCTTCTAAGCGGGTGTCCCGACATTACCTGCAACTTACCAAGTAAATTATCACTATAAATATTCAGGCAATATGGAGGTATCCGCATAAGAGCTCATATACCAATAGAGGTCGAACAATTCGACCCAATATAACAATGGAGAATTAGAAGTACATCAACAAATAGTTATAACTAATACACTTTGTGTAAAAAGTGACTGTCGTGCCTCAGTGGTCTAGTGGACAACGTTCTGGCGTTCGAAGAGATGGGTACGAGGTTCGAGTCTCAGCGAGAACAACATCACCCACTGAGGTGCAGGTACATCCAGCCGACGAGTCCCAAATAGGGCGAAACGTGCATTCTGGATTCTCCTGCTATCCATAACTAGGTGAATTATCGTAATAAAAAAATGTAAGTTGAAAAGAACAGAAAAACCAGATATCAGAAGCTGTATAATTACTTCGATATGGTTATGTGCAATAATTTTTGGCCGAGACGTTATCCAATAAACAATACCGCCTCTCTATGTGCTATATGGAATAAACAAAACTAATCTGAAACCATTAGGACATTAAATATTAGAGTATACGGCGGTTTGGTATACGTAGTTGACAGTACCTTTGAAGAGAATAATGAGTAAACTGCAATGGTTAAGTTTTAAACCTTTAAACAGTTAAACGAAAATCAGATCAAAGAAGAAACTTACGAGAGACTAGACGATCAACACTTAGTCCAGAGATTTCTGATACACAATTAAATCCAGCACGTGTAAGACCATGCAATACAGCTGAACTAAGAGGCAAGGATATAAGTTCACGAAATCCGGGATCAGAAAGCATTCATAGAGAAACAAACTCTATCTAAACAACAACAAGTTGAAGGAAAAAGATACCAGTAAATGTATGATATGTAACATGAACTACACTGGAAAACTATGAAATAATGAGCATTTTTAGATTAGAAATATTCTATGACAGATGATCTCATAGTTATACTGCGGTGAATTTGAATAGAAACAAAAAGTGGAATTTTTTAGCCGAAACTTTGGTAAATAGCTGTATAAAGTGAAAAACCCAAAGTTGTCAAGTTATAGGCCAGGTGTTTGGTGAAGGTTGGATAAGAAAAGTCGATTTTACAGAGTCCTCAAATCAGCTCATTGTCGATTCATGCAAAAAAAGGCTATTTAATAACTTGCTTAAGGAGATGACAGGGTTTATTAACAAACGGATAACAAAATTATATATATATATATATATATATATATATATATATATATATATATATATTCCAATTGATTTATTGGGAACCAAATGAAGTCAACGTATTGTACATGGATTGAAATCAGTAGTAAAACCACTGCAAACCAAGAAGCTATTGAATGATGGTCGCGTTATATTATGAACTAACAGCTGGAAGACATAAATCGCATAATTCCAAACCAACAATTGAATACCAGAGTGCTTGTCGACAGAACTAATGGTTTTGGGTTTATTGCTGCATAACGTTTGGAGGTGAACACTGTTGAGGAGTTCCAAACTAGGGTGAAACACTGACCTAATGAGCTCTGGTTTTCACTGGTTCTCTGACTGATGTTGATCCATGAGCCACGAAAATACAGCTTTTAGTGAGACTACTGAACGCATAGATAAGCCAATTTATAAGCGTTCTAACTGAATTGATGAAGTTATGAACTAGTACAAACTGAAGTGATTAGGGAATTTGTTGTTCGTGTTTGACTATTACAGACAAAATTATACAAGTCTTAAGGAGAGCAGAAATTAGCAGTTGGGGTCCCCGGACTAAGCAGTGAGGTTACATTGGCTATTCTGTCTTATTTAGATACTAAACATTTAATTATTCTATATCTATTTGACATTCATATCTGTGTTCTGCTTTATTATTATGCATGGTGATTCTATCCCCTGTTTTTAATAACTGTGACAATTTGAGCAGTTAACCAGGTACTATTTCCCATGATGTGTCTGAAAATCGAGAATATTATTTTAAAACTTATTACATAAATCATTTCTTTTATAGAAATGCAACAGAAGCAGTAAAATTCATCATCTGCTTACTGACCCGGGAAATAAGCCTTTATAATAAAAAAAAGTAAGAACAAACAGATGTGCAAAATAAAATGGATATTCATCAACAGTATACAACCTAAAGGTGAAGGAAAATTCTTGGGATTCGCAAATATATAACAAATTTTAGTCTTTTACGGTTCATTTCAAACAAACATTTCCTGATTAGGGTTTGAAGAAGATCTATTATTCAGTCTGTCTCAATTATACTTCTGTTGTTAGGAGGGAATATGAATCATCCATCAGCATTATTTGAGACCTTCAATAAGCCTATTCTAACATAAATCTGGGGATGGAATATGAGAGCAGAAACAGATTTAATTCGTTCCATATGGTGTTTTATCTCCCTAGGTGACTCGCAGTAGAATCCAGAACACGCATTTCGTTCCAGTTGGGACTCGTCAGTTGGATATACCTCCACCCCAGTGAGTGATGTTGTTCCCACTAAGACCTGAATGCAGCACCCAACGCTTCAAAACCCAAAGCGTTTTTCACTAGGCCACTGAGGTACAAGAGTCACTACTTGTTATATCTGAGTTTGGCACACATGCATATACATCCAATTACCTTAATAATAGTTTTTGTTCTGTCAGTTATAAACAAGGTTTAATCAAGAGAAAGAAAATTATGATCAAAAAGCAAACTGAAAGAGGAATTACCTATTATTGACAAAACTCTTATGCAAACAGTAACTCACAAAAGTTTATTCTGAAATATATTGAAGAACTTAGAGATTCAACTGCTAAGAAGACACCACTATCTATTCGTTTGGCAGTCAACAGAGTTGAAATATAAGACAGAATAGATAGAAGGATAAAAGGTCCATTGAAAACAAGCTTCTCTTCTGCTAGCCTTAAACCAGTTTACAACACCATGTGCACATTAAGTCAATTTAAAGTAGATGAATATCATTATCACGTTACATCCATCTGTATTAACTAATTTACATGTACTTATGGAAGCAAATGCATAGAAAAGACTGAAAAAAAAAGAGCATCTAATCAATTTAAACAGCATGCTCTAATAAATCTGTGCTAGAAAGACAGTAATTCCCAGACATCAGATAGAAACTAGGCATCAAATAAAAACAGATCCAGTCTTCAGAATAATTTACAAATAAAGACTGATAAGTCTATTGCGCTTTACAGAAGCTTTTACAATAAGATATTTCAAACCTGACCATTGTACTCAGAAAGTGGCTATGATTGAACTTTCTTTACCCTCGTAATTGGATATTATTTCGGTTGCACTATATATTCGGCTTTATCTACTGATTTGTAATTAAAGTCAATTTGATATCCTTACGTAATAAGCTAACTGTTTAGCGATTTCCTTTCGTTAATGTCGCCTTTTCACTGAACCTAAAATTTTCTATTTATAATCATGTATAAGTGAACATTGGTCCTGATTAAGTTCTTGCCTTTCTTAGCTTTCTGACTCATACTAAAATATGCTACATATTTGCGAACTATAATAATTCTACTTCAATGTTAGGTTGCACACAGGTGATGAATATTCGCGACATAAAACAGCATCACTTTATTCTGCACATTTATTTGTTCGTACGTTCTTCGACATTGGTTAAGGAAAGAAATATATGAGTTAATTAGTATCGAATACACATACCATAAAGAAATTAAGCCTTTTCTACGTGAGTTTTTTTCATCATAAGAGCAACATGTATAATCAGTTATCTTGATCAGTGGTCGTCAGTAGACGTTTACGTGGCCACCCAACTTTAGGAATGACCTTAAAGGCCACCCTAACCAATCAGACTTCTCTGTTTTATGAAAATCTGCTTATCCAGCTAAAATGAAGGAACCTTATTGGTTATTTCGATTTTTGCTAGGGTAGCCCTTAAAGTCGCCCTAAGTTTAGCGTTTCTCAAACTAGACGTTCACGCAATATTTTCAACCACCCGTAGCACATATAAAAAACATTAACTACTCAGTGCAAAATGCACAAATTTTTGTTGTGACACCCATTTCTCATAAGGGTCTTTTGGTAACTGTTGTATTTATCATAACACCTAGTGAATAAAAAGAACGTCACGAGCAATAAAAACGGATTATTTTCAATAAACCAATGGCACTGAAAGTAACTGAAGTAAACACACTGCTGACAGATCGTATGAAGATAAAATAAAAAAAGGTTGGTTAAACAGTCATTTTATCTTAATCCTGTTACAGTAGCTTGTATCTTTATCGAATTACAACATGTGATCAGTACTTCATTTAAACAACACACATCTTATTTAACACAATTTATGCATTATTTTCTGAAAGCTGTTAATCAAATCACTTATAACAATAATAATAATAATAATATCAGTATTCGCAGTAACAAACTATTATAATATCAGTTATCACCATTTGCTAATAGCCAAGTAAAAGCGAAAGAAAACGAATATGTGTGAAGAAAACAGATACGTAAGCTACAAATTATCGCCAAATAATACACGATGAAAATGTGTATGCAACTATAGGACAGTAAGAATTGGTAATAGTGATAGGGACGATGATCACAGTAATAATGTTCATAAAATAAGTGTTAATTTCACAAGCTTCATTTATGATTCGATGCAAAAGTATGCATAAATGTTAAGCGAAAGATATGAGAAAATCTACAAGGTAGATAACATAGTTAGTAGATACACATTATCACATAATGAAACAGATTTTATGATAAAATACATTAAATAACTAAGCTGTTTAAAATGTTCAAATAGTATTTCGTAGAATCTGATTTCATGTTGAACATGACAAAACTCAACAATCATGCACAGGTTTGTGCACTGTACAGTGAGATGCATCGACTATGTGAAGATTATTTACACTATCTGGTTGCCTAGATCTGGAGAGGTGCAACCAATTTGAAACCTATAATAAACTGGTTGAAACTTCAATGCCTAGACGGATGAGTCAAAGTTACATTCAATGATGGGTCGGTCAGGTGAATCGATTAAAAAGTATGGATGAATCGAGTTTTTGTATATACTGACGGTCTTACAAATTCAAGGAAAATACTTCTATCAGTAAAGTAAAAATGTTACCGCTAAGTCATTGGAAATATAAACAGTTTTGAATTCAAACTACTGTGTACGATATAATTACAGCTCACAAAAACACTAACATTCCCTAAAAAGATAAAGCCACAAACAACAAAGATACCATTCCTTGTTGATTTGCATCATTTTAATCAAACCACAGTTCTGCATTACACAAATGATTACTTAAGGTGACCAAATCCAATCACTGATTGCAAATTATGACAAACTGTCAATAATCCACATTTTACATTATTATTATAAACTGTTATAGTCCAGTGGAATAAGCCTACTACTAACTAAATACAGTGACGTCAAGCTTTTGCAAATTAACAAAACTTTACTGCTGAGCTCCACTAGGCATTACATAGTCTAATAATTTGAACTACAATATGAAGAACCATGCAGTGAAACAGTATCATATACTAGATTACGTTTCGGACATAGTTTAATCTTCATAGTCATATCAAGATAACTCCACAGCTTTGAGAAATGAATTACATAGTTCTAATTCCCTCTCCTACTTTGCAATACACGCAGTAGAATTTTTCAGTCATCTAGAACGTGGCGAATCCTTCTTGTTACAAACATTTACTGTTGATTCGACAAACAATGGTTGCGTTATCTATCTCCCTTGGACCTGACTAAGTTGGTTCTCAGGAATGCCACTATCCTACCCCCATGTGTGTATATCCATGCATACACATAACCGGGTTTTTTCCTAGCACCA